AAACGGTGAATAATGTAGCTAAAATCATCAAAATATCGTATATAAGGAGGTGCCGTTAAATTGGAGCTGTGCGAAGACCTGGACCAGCATAGACAATTTTCTGTCACAGGCTGTAGCATCCATTACGAACTTCAAATACCACATCTTAAACAATTTCGGTGGGTATTGTACCTAAAATCGTCAAAATACCGAATATAGGGAGGTACTGATATATGGGGCCTATACGAAGACGTGGACCTGCACAGACAATTTTCCGTCTTAGGGTGTAGTATCCATTTTGAACTTCAAATATCAAATTTGAAACAATTCCGGTGAATAATGTCGCTAAAATCATCAAAATACCGAATATCGGGAGGTACCGTTATATGGGGGCTATACGAAGACGTGGACCTGCACAGACAATTTTCTGTCTTAGGGTGTAGTATCCATTTTGAACTTCAAATACCAAATTTGAAACAATTCTGGTGAATAATGTCGCTAAAATCATCAAAATACCGAATATCGGGAGGTACCGTTATATGGGGGCTATACGAAGACGTGGAACTGCATAGACAATTTTCCGTCTTAGGGTGTAGTATCCATTTTGAACTTCAAATACCAAATTTGAAACAATTCCCGTGAATAATGTCGCTAAAATCATCAAAATACCGAATATAGGGAGGTACCGTTATATGGAGGCTATATGAAAACGTGGACCTACATGGCCCATTTACGAACTTAACCTGCCTACTGGAAAAATAAACATGTGTGCAAAATTTTAGCCATCTATCTCAATTCATTCGATAGATAGCGTGATTACAACAGACAGACAGACGGACAGACAGACAGACGGACATCGCTAAATCGACTTAGAATTTTACGCTGATCAAGAATATATATACTTTGTTGGGTCTGATATGAGTATTTCGAGGAGTTACAAACGGAATGACAAAGTTAATATACCCTCCATAGTATGGTGGAGGGTATAAAAACGTTACTATTATAATACTTTAATGTGCAAACAAAAAAATTAGTCCGTATACACGAACGGCTGTCCTTCGGATTTATTAATTTCAAAGCAAATGTCAACCGTGCAGGAAACTGCAATATTTTGAAGTTGAGTGGCTTCCCCGTAATAATCGTATCCTCATTTACATTCTTGTGTAGTTTTTTACTGTTAGCCCAATATCATAATCCAATCTAAACCGATAATTATATCCCAATCTGAACCGATTTCAATATAAATTCACAAAATTTACTTTTGCCCCAAATTCCGTCACACCTTCCATATTTCATTAAAATTTCATAAATTTCATTCATCACCACGGCTTGGTGAGTCAAATATGTTAAATCGGTCGGTAATATATATGGGAGCTAATCCAAATCTTCATCGATTTCAAATAAATTTTTCAAATTTATTATTGTAAACAACTCCGCCACAGATGACGAATTTCATTGGAATCTGACATATATATCGTGTTTGGTACATACATGAAATGGAAGCTATACCCAACCCTCAACCAATTTCAATATAATTTGGCGAATTTATTTTCTGAGCAAATCCCGTTACTCATTCTAAATTGCATTAAAATAGAACATACATATTGTGTTTGGTGCATCACATAAACGAAATCCGCCGAAAATATATATGGGAGCTGTATCCAAATCTGAGGCCAAATCACCGCATTCGTCATCGAGTTCTGTTTCGTATAGAGAAACATTTCGATCGCTGTAAATTTTTGGATCACCGCATTCGATCCCAAATTAGTTTGCCTACTACTTTTTTTGCATTGCTGTAAACATATGGTAATAAGAAATTGGAAGCTAACAAGAATTTCAAAGTAAGTTTTTGCGATCAAAATATGTTATTTCTAAGAAATTTATATTGTTTCTGTGTGTTTAAATACATGTGTATAAATATATTATGAATGCAAGGGTTTTTTTTTTTTTTTTTTTGTTTTCCTCGTCTTCGGACTCAGAGCATGAGTACAAAGTGGCATTAATAAGGAAAAATATTCGTGACAAATTTAGTCCTATAACATTGCCTGAAGTGGCGTAAGTGATTATACCCTACAACACTATGTGTTGGGGGTATTATAAGATTGATTGGGCCAAAAATTATGTAACACCTCGAAATATTGATTTCCCACATAGGAAAGTATATATGGATCTTCCTATCTCGCCGAGCTGAGTCGATCTAGCTATGTATGTCCGTCCGTCCGTCTGTCCATGTTAATTTGTAATCACTCTACAGGTCCCAATTATGACCCAATCTTCACAAAATTTACAATGGAGGTGGGGCTATAACCAGAATAGAACCCTATTTAGGGGTTGTAATGGACCAAAAACTGAAAAAAAATCCTGATTTTGCAGTTCTTCTACAGGTCGCAATAATAGACCAATCGAAGCGGAAGTCAGCATGGGCCTAGAGCTTAGGTCTGTGCAGAAGCCTTACAATTTTGATGGTCAACGGGTAATATTTAGTGGGTAAAATAGACCATAACATTTGTATTAAACAAAAGTCAAATTTTCGATTAAACCGCGAATATTTTTAATCCCGACGAAATTACAAATAGACGAATAGGTCAATTCTGACCGTTATATAGATCCCGATAGTAAATATATCGGATACATAGAGCGAAATATATACAACTAGCTGAACCCGGTGCGCTTCGCTACCCCTTTTGATTTTATATGCATTCAAAATTTTATTTACGAATATATGTTGGATAAAGAAAACAAATTTAAAAATTAAAAAAAAATATTGCACTAATTTAATGCGTTAATAAACAAAATCACTACAAAAGCAGTAACATGACATGCATACATTTGTCCTTTGGATTTATTTGTCCTTTGGATTTATTTATTTCATAGCAAATACCAAGCGTGCAGGAAACTGCATTTTTTTTAAGTAGAGTGGCATTTCTATTGCATTTCGTGAATTCGAGATAGCAACATACTTCGCCGTAATAAGCGTATTTCAAATAAATTGTTGTGTTGTTTTTTAGTGTTAGCCTAAGGCGTTTTGGGTCAATGGTTCTTATTAAAATCATATCCCAATCTGATCCGATTTAAATATAATTTTAAAAAAAATTACTTTTACACCAAACTACGCCACACCTTTCATATTTCATTGAAATTGGTGCGTCAAATATGTGAAATCGGCCGAGAATACATATATGGGAGCTATATCCAAATCTTAACTAATTTCCAATTAATTTATTACATTTATTATTATAACAAAATTCCGCCACACATTCTGAATTTCATTGGAATCGGTCATATATATCGTGTTTGGTGCATAATATGTATGAAATCGGCCGAAATATATATGTTAGCTATATCCAAACCTCAACTGATTCAATATAATTTGGCAATTTTTGCTGGTGCCAGATTTTGTCTCTCTCGCTTTGGGTGCATCAAATATGTGAAATCGGCTGAGTATATATATGGGAGCTATAATCACATCTGAGCGTATTTGAATATAATTTGTCAAATTTATTTTTGTATTTTGTTGGAATCGGAAATTCGTATCCTGTTTTGTGCATCAAATATGTGAAATCGGCGGAAAAATATATATATGGGAGCTATATTCAAATCTGAACCGATATTAATATAATTTGACTAATTTATTTTCTAATCAAAATCCCGTTACATATTCCAAATTTCTTTGGAATCGAACATACATATCGTGTATGGTGCATAAAATACATGAAATCGGTCGAAAATATATATGAGAGCTATATCCAAATCTGAATCGATTTTAATATAATTTGACAAATGTATATTTGTTTTAATTTCCGCTACACATTCCAAATTTCATTGAAATTAGAGATTCATAGCGTGTTTGGTGCATCAAATACATGAAGTCGGTCGAAAATATATATGGGAGCTATATCCAAATCTGAACCGATTTCAATTTAATTTGACAAATTCATTTTGGCTCCCAATTCCGTTACTTATTTTAAATTTCATTACAATTGGAAATACATGTCGTGTTTGGTCCACCAAATACATGAAATCGGCCGAAAATGTATATGGGAGCTATATCCAAATCTGAACCGATTTCAATATAATTTGGGAAATCAATTTTTTAGATAAAATCTATCACACGTTTCAAATTTCATTGAAATTGGGGATACATAGCGTGTTTGGTGCATCAAATACATGAAATCGGTCGAAAATATATATGGGAGCTATATCCAAATCTGAACCGATTTCAATTTAATTTGACAAATTCATTTTGGCTCCCAATTCCGTTACTTATTTTAAATTTCATTACAATTGGAAATACATGTCGTGTTTGGTCCACCAAATAAATGAAATCGGCCGAAAATATATATGGGAGCTATATCCAAATCTGAACCGATTTCAATATAATTTGGCAAACTTATTTTTGTTCCAAATTCCGTTACGTATTCCAAATTTGGAGACTGTATCTTCAACCAATCAATAGATATGTGCATATAAAATCTAAATTTTTGGGAGGTACCTCCGGTTCTGATGCTATATCTCCAGTTCCAAGTGGAAATTCAAAAATGTATATTGCCTATGTTACTTTCAGGCGATGTTGCAGTATATATGGAAATTTTCAGGAAAATCTGTTCAGCGGTTTTCGAGTCCATAAATTACAAACAAACAAACAAACAAACAAACAAACAAACATACAAACATTTTCCTCTTTTATAGATATAGATGTGTATAAATAAAGCAAGGGAATGTTAGCTAGAATGCTAATATCCCAAGAATGGTTAGAACTATTTTGACAATTTTTGTCAATTCAGAATGCCCTCTTGGCATAAAAGAATAAAATTTAAAAAAATCGCATAAAAAATGTCAATAATGATGTTAATATAGATTTTGTAGTATTTTGTGACATTTTTTTTATTTTTTCATATTTTTAATCGCATGCGATTTTTTCATTTTGACTTATAATATTGAAGAATACATTTTGTAATATTTTTTCATTTTACTACACAAGTTGGGGTTATTATATACAGATTGCAATTATCCTCACGAAGAAGTGTAGGTTAGGCTCATAAGGGTTAAGCCTATTGTTTTCAAAGATGTCCGCAATATATTTAGGGTTGAAATGAACCAACAACTAAAAATGTTCCCGATTTTGTAGCCGTTACAAAGGCCACAAATATAATCCAAAGGACACGAAATCTCCATGAAGTTAGAGTTTAGGACAGCGGGTTGAATGGACCACTATTTTTGTGTGAAAAAATACCATACAAATATCGTAGACAAGCAAATCATATAGATGAGTCTAAATTTGGAGATACAGAGGAGCCTCTTGCTTTTGGAGATGAACGCAAAATAGTTAGGGGTTCAAATGAACCAAAAAGAGAAACTAATTCCTGATCACACAATTGAAGCCAATCGATACGCCTGAGAAACGCGATATCTTCCAAAATGGATTTGGACATAAGGGGGCTTCTAACATATTGTAGTGTATCACATGGTCGGCCCCGCACGACTTTGTTTACTTGTTTTATTTAAAATAGAATAAAACTGACATTTTCACCAACTTCTTGTTTCTTTTTGTTTGCCTTTTTTCGCACAAAAATCACTACATACTTTGTTTTCGATAGCATACTACTTATCGTGTACAACTTCGAGTGAAAAAAAATTCGATAACGACTGCGGTGATCCGCGTAAACTACATTACGATGCTGAAGTACTCGATTTCGACTGCGGTGATTTGGCCCCAGAATGGTCTGTCACAAAATCTGCCAAGATAATTTTTTGCTGGAAGTTTATTTTGTTTGAGTTTGACCTACAAAATTTGAAATCATAATAATTTTTCAATTATTTAATATTTTTAAAGAAATTTACATTTTGTTTTTGAATTAATGCACAAATTATGCTCCAATCAGAATTATTACACTTTAAATTGTCGTATACGATACAAAAATAGACGCGGGCAAAAACTCGAGTGGTTGCATTCAACACTTCCATGTCAAGTACTCGATATCGAACACCGTCATCCAAAAATAAGATTACGATATCATAACTTCTCAATATCGTATGCGATAATTAGACCCCAGATTTCAATATAATTAAGCAAAAAATTTGTTAGAAAATTCCATCACACATTCCAAATTTCATTAAAATGTGGCGTACACAGCGTGTTTAATGCATCAAATACATGAAATCGGCCAAAAATATGTATGGGAGCTATATCCAAATCTGAACCGATTTCAATATAATTTGGCATTTTTTTCCAAACACCGTCACGCATTCCAAATTTAGACTCTGTGTCTGTAATCGATCTGTAGATATGTGCATATAAAATCTAAATTTTTGGGAGGTACCTCCGATTCTGATGCTACATCTCCAGTTCCAAGTGGAATTTCAAAAATGTATATAGCCTATGTTACTTTCAGGCGATGATGTAGTATACTTGGAAATTTTCGGGCAAATCTGTTCAGCGATTTTCCAGTCCATAAATTACAAACAAACATACAAACATTTTCCTCTTTTATAGATGTAGCTTAAAAATTTAAAAAACTAAAAATTGAACTTCACCGTTCACCGCTATGGAGTTTAGCCGCACCAGTTTGCTGGACTCATCAAATTGTTTTAATATGTTGGCAGTTGCGTCTAAGAAAAGAGTGTTTCTGTTTTTTCTTTATACACTTTGTACAAATCTATTACATTGTGGCTGTCCCTACACAGGTCGGTCATGTTTTGCTCGAACTTCAACATTGTAGTAGCACCCTGTGTTAGCAGTTCCTAGTTGTTAACTACATCCCTCATCCTATTACCTACATCCCTACTTTGGGCATATAATTTTTGATTCTTCCAATGGATTGCTTTTATATTAAAAATTTCTATTTGACGGTATCTCTACGTACACCTCTAATTTGTTGTTTTTTTTTTTATAAATGTAAGTCGCCATTGTTTGTCTTGGGTAGCAAACACGATTCGAAAACAATTAACTGTACAATTGTATTTGGAACACCCGTATGTAAAATGTACACATTTTGCGTAAAATTAAATACTTTTCTTGAAGACTGTTTTTGGATAATAGCTAGACACATTGTTCTAATAATTGTGGACGTTTTTCCATCATTTTTTCCTATGGGTTGGATAGGAGATGCAATTTTAATTGGTATATTATGCAATTTTTCAAGTAGCGATTTAGATAGTGTTTCAGTATCAAATAATATCCACTGGATTTATGAACACGATTTACCTGACTTATACACAGTGAAATTGACATTAAAATCGAGTGGATTTAGTAGTCTAAACGTGCTCTCATTGTGCCATGGTAGAAGGTATATTACCATTGACAATCAAATGTGTTACTTGACTTTCTTCTGAAAAAAAAAAATAAACATTTTAGCTCATTAGTATTAAATTAATAAATAATGTATTATTTTTACTTATTTCTTTAAACCGTCGTTTACACAAGACAAATTGTATTTTATTCTTTTTTTTATTTTCTTCCTCTCTGTCTAGCTTTTTTTCAAAGACAACCAATTAATTAACTTAGTAAATACTTTCGGGAGAGCGAAAACGATTTTTCTCTGTTCCAGAACCAGCAACAATCTACTAGTTCTGCAATTTTTCGATATCGTAAAAGAAAATTGGTTTTCATTATTGCATGTTCTGGAACAGAGCAAACATTAAGGGTAACCCGAAAGCATGTTTTGTAGCTTATTGAAAAAGCAACAAAACAAACGAACAGGATTTGCCGAAAATCTCTTTCCAGTAAACTCTCAGCCATGGTAGAATTAAGAAGGTATGTCAAGAATTCATATGTTTACAATTTTTTGTAATTATTGTCATATATTTTTATTTATCAAATCAGAGATGGGAACCGCTTTTATAGGCAGTGAAATTTGACAAAGTAAATTACAGAATATGCTTGTTTGAAATGAATTTACCTTCTTAACTTTACCTTTAGCATAAAATTTCTTTGATACAATAGTCCGTCCCGGTGGCGGCAAGGATGGATTGTGGAAAGCGCACTATTGGGAAGAACCTTGCCCTCAAAACCAAAAGCAGGGCCATCAATTCACTCAACAGACACCGGATGATCTCAGAATAGCGGTCATTAATCAGGCGGCCGTTAAAGCTATTAAGCCAAGTGCCCTCATTGAGAAATACGTGATTTCATTAAGCTTTGTTGGGTTCCAGGACATAGCAAAATACTGGGAAATGAAGTGGCTGATGAATTAACTCGAGGAGATTCCCATTGATCTATCGGTTGATGAAACTGTTAAACCGGTTAAAGCTATTATATCAGCTGCTTCAAAAAAATCTCTAATCTGGCCGGTACTCTCGAGAGGAAGAACAAGCTCCCTTCTTTCACTTAGTAGGTCTGGGGCCAAATCAACGCATTCGTCATCGAGTTCTGTTTCGCATAGAAAAACATTTCGATCGCTGTAAATTTTCGATCGCAATTTATTTTGTCTACTGTTTTTTTTACATTGCTGTAAACATATGGCAAACAGAAATTGGAAGCGAAAGAGAATTTCAAAATAAGTTTTTGCAACCAAAATATGTTATTGCTGAGAAATTTATATTGTTTCTGTGTGTTTAAATACATGTGTACAAATATATTATGAATGCAAGTGTTTTTTTGTTTTCCTCGTCTTCGAATTCAAAGCATGAGTACACAGTGGCATTAATAAGGAAAAATATTCGTAACAAATTCAGTCCTTTAACATTGCCTGAAGTAGTGTAAGTGATTCTATTTAAAATAGAATAAAACTGACACTTTCACTAACTTCTTGTTTCTTTTTGTTAGCCTTTTTTCCGAACAAAAATCACTACATACTTTGTTTTCGATAGCATACTACATACCGTGTACAACTTCGAGTAAAAACAATTCGATAACGACTGCGGTGACCCGCGTAAACTACATTGCGATGCTGAAGTACTCGATTTCGAGTGCGGTGATTTGGCCCCTGGTCTAAGAATCGCGGATGGCATACTGACCTGAAACTGCAGTATCAGATATCTGATCAAGATGGCACAACAGACTTCCTGACTACTGTAGACTATGTGAAGATGAAGAAGAAATAGAGACGATTGGACACCTACTATGCAGATGTCTCATGTTATTCAACAAGTGACATCGGCTATTGGTAGGTGGGAGATAGAAACACTAAAGTTCATTTCAAACGTAAATCCCATCATCAGTTTGCCAAAAACTTTTGCTTGTTTTCGAAACACAACTAAAAAAAATAGTTGACGCCATTTTTTTCCTCAGAAACCACCCACACTCAACTCAAATAAGGTATTCTTGAAAAGAAAAGAAAAAAGGATAAACACATACACATGGAACCATTAATATTTTTGAATATCAATTAATAAATGACAACATGTTTATTTTTTGTTTTAAGTATTTTCATTTTTGTAGGAATTAAGATTGTAAGGAAAATTAAAAGAACAAAATATGTAAACACAATAAAATAAATACAAATTAAAAAATAGTTTCATGTATTTCGTTTCTGTTCAAATTACCTGCTATGTCATTAAGGTATAGTTATTATTATCTGTTCTAAATCTGAAACGTTGTAGACAAATATAAATATGTATGTATACAAGTTTTGGGAGTTGGACTGGGGGCCCGCATCCGTTCTTTTTATTTCTAAATACTAATGTCGTTTTGTTGTTCACCGCGATGTTGGGATGCAAAGCGAATCGAGCTCCTGTGGAGAGGAAGTCATAATACATTTGTATTTAATAATTTGATATTAATTTTTATGTAAAATTAATTAAATTATATCACATTTACCTAATAGTCAAACAAAAAAAATTACCAAAGGCATTAGTTTTTAAGATTTTTTGAAGAAATGAAGAATGTGGCCTGTCTCTCGATTGATCTGTTTTGTTTTCGTAGAATCAGGCCATAAATAAAATTATATTCAACTTATTTTCACTCACAACCAAAAATATAAAGTCATCGTATTATGACTAGATTCGATTTATATCCCACATCGAAATCTTGTGGAAAGTATAATATGGTGAACTTTTCATTGTAGAATAAGATTTTTCATATCGAGATGTGTACCCTTTTTACATGTTTATGAAATGTTTATATAAGGACAGTGGAAACAGTCGGAATATATAAACATTGTATAAAGAAAAAAAGGGTTGTTGAATATCTTTGTCTATTGAATGATTACGAATTGGGTCCGACGGCTTCCTTTTTGGTTGAGGTCGGCACTGCAGTGAAATTAGAAGGATTTCAATTTTTGTTGTTTTGTTTTTTAATTATTTTTTTATTTTGTTTTTCTTTTTTCTGCTTTGTTATACTGAAATTTTACATTACTATAATTGTTGTAATTAATGTTTATCATCTCTTTCTTATTTTTAATTTTTATCTGATGATGATTCTTTTTCTTGTTATCATCATTTATTTGTTGTTTTTGTTTCTTTTTTGTTATAAATGTAGCCTGTGGCTAAAAAGTGATTCCTTTTTGTTTTTGTTTTAACTATAATTAATAATAATGGTAATTATTTTGTTGCAGTTTTCTTGTTTTTAATCAATTTATCTTTATATATGTATATATTATTTTATATTTAAAAAGTTTAAAAATGTTGTTGTGTTTGTTGTTGTTTGTTCTTGGGATTAGTAGTAATAATAGTTGTGGTTGCAGTATTTTTATTATTATTATTATTATTGTAAATGGATGAAGGCGCCGTCAATGCGACAGACGACGATGTGGCCGTATAGCCGGATGACGGTGAAGATAACACTGATGGTGACGACGTCATAGAGGCCGTAACAACAGGTGGTGACGAAGACATGGTTGCAAATGTTTTAATAATTGTCTCAGCAGCAGCGGCTGCAGCAGCTGCCACGGCAGCAGCACTTGTTGCAGCCGTAACTGAATGCTGGTTGTGGTGGTGTTGTTGATGGTGATTATGATGATTCTGGTGGTGCTGATGGTTGTTGTGTTGATGATGATTATGTAGGTGGTGGGGATGATGTTGTTGTTGTGTTAGAACATAGTTTGTTGGTTGGCCATGGTTATTGTTGGCAGCATGGGAATGCGTTGCCAAAAGCTGTTGTTGAAAATCTAAATTGGTTATAGTAGAAGAAGTATTGTGGGAGTGATTCTGGTGTTGATTCACAACAGAATGTTGCTGTATTTGATATTGTAGTTGTTGTTGGGATGAAAAAACTATATTTTGATTTGGGGTGTGTTGTTTCTGCTGCTGCTGCTGTTGTTTATGGACAGCATGATGCTGATGGTGCTTCTGGTAAAGTTGCTATGCCAAACGTGGTTTCTTTTGATGTGGTGAATCTTCCTCTTCATCCTCTTCGGCTTCGAATTCATCACCCGAATCACTACCATAATCAACAAGCTGGAAAGAAGAACAAAAGTAAAATGTAATTAAATATTTGTATGCAACTCACATCAAAATATTTGCAAATACAAATGTTGAGATATATTAAATTAAAAGATTTTTAGGAAGACCACGTGATGTTTTTACGAAAAAGATTATGCTGTATTCATATAGAGAAGGTAATAATGTCCACAAGTAGATACCAAGTTCTTAAAGAGGATGTTACAGAGACCAAAATATGTTCTCATTGGCGAAGAAATTGCAGTCTTGTCTTTTAAAAAGAAAGAATTTAATTTTTTATTTATTTTAGAGTCTTCGCATTAAAACGACACTAATTTTTAGAGACCACAAAGTCTTATATAAGAACACAATATTTTCTTATAAAGACCTTAATATAAGTGATACTCCAAGGTCTTCAACCATTGTGAAAACTCCAGGGACCTTTTCAAGAGACCAAGATGTCTTTGAGTAAGGCTTAATTTAAGTCCTGCTTATAAAGATAAAACCCTCCTAAGAATGAGCCTTAAAAAAACCTCAGAGACTAGAAAACCCATAAAGTTGACGCAACTTAAAGACTCCGTGATCGGTGATCTAGCCTAAATACAATTTCTTCCTGGCATTCCCAAAAAAATCACAAAACTCCCTACTCTAATCACTCCAATTACCTTCTTTAGAATGTTTTCGCCTGGTAATGTTGTTGTGGCTGTTGTCCCTTGAGTTGCTGCATTTGATGACGGCGCTGCCTCCTTGTTAGTTTCCGTTGTTGTGTTTGCCGCATTATTACAACTATTAAGTTTATTCGCTTCAACACTGGCCGCTACAGCAGCAACTGCGGCTGCTGCCACAGCAGCAACGGCTTCATTTGAGGCCATTGTCGATAGCAATTGTGTTGCGGCCGCAGCTGCAGCTTCTGTCAGAGCACTTGTTGATGGACCAGCCGTCGACGTTGGTGATGTGGATGCTGATGCGGACGATGATGTTGATAGCGATGCATTGACGGCACTAGATGAATTTGCCGATGTTGCTGATCTGTCGTCACTGCCACCAATTGTCGTTGCTGCACCACCACCCCCTCCTCCTCCTAACGCCGCCAATTCCTGCTGATGTTCAACTGCTGCCAATTGTTGTTGTAATTCCACGATATCACTTTGTTGTTGTGTCTGTTGCGCTTCCAAATGCGCTGCAGCTGCCGCCGCCGCAGCGGCTGCCGTTGATGTACTTGCTGCCGCTGCCGATACACCAGCAACTGCTGCTGCGGCTGCTGCCGCAACTAGTGTGTTATTCAGATTCAATTGTTGTTGTTGCTGTTGATAGCTATGCAATGAGTGAGACGACTGCTGTTGCTGCTGATGTTGTAAAGATAAATTTGCTGCTGTCGCTGCGGCGGCAGCACCCAAATGAGTGGCGGACGTTTGTTGTTCACTACTATTACAATTACTACTACTGGTAGTACTGCTGGAGCTGGAGGCGTTATTGCTGCTGCTAGTGGAGGGTGTTGTTTGTAGACCTGCATTATTGTCACCAATAGCACTACTGCTGACACCACCGCCACCAACTGTGGTTGAATGATTAGATGACGTCGCCGTTGCTGTACTATTCAAACTAATGGCAGATGTATTACCACTCAACATACTGTTACTGGTGCTGTGCTGCTGTTGTTGTTGCTGCTGCAGTTGTTGTGCATTCTGCGGCGGTGATTTTTGTTGCATTTGCTGTTGAGATGTTGGAGAACCATTTTTATCTGTAACAGCTAAAAAGAGACGAAAAAAATATATTAAAAAACTTGTTCAATTTTAAGACATAAGATATAGAGATAAGGACACACTTGTTTATCCAATTTACATAAATCCTCTAATATCAGGATGACTTGTCTTTTTTGTTAACAAAAGACCAATTAAAGCCTTATTTTTATAGAAGTTCATCTACATATATGAGTCCTTTAAAAAACCTGTAGGATATAATTCTACTGAACTCACGGTCTAAATATAAAATACATTTACATGGTCTTTCTTGAAATGCATTCCCCCATAAACAAACATTGGAACTTCTATATATGCTGGTGTAAAATATCATCGCACTACAGAAAACTTATACAATCAAACTTTCTTAGAAATATGGTCTTATAAAAATCCTTTAGAAAGCTTCTTCAAAATGTAAATCACTAAAAACGTGTTCAGCTTTGTTGATATAAAATTAAACCCACATTGTTTCTGGAAAATATCAAATTGAATTCTATGGGAATTGCGAAAGCTATGGGAAATGTTGTGAAAATAAAATAGATCTTCAGTGAGTTTTCTTCCTTGATTACCTATTTATTTCATCGTCGTTACAATATTTGATCATCTTAACAAAAACAACAAAATTTGTTTCTTAATCCTTTTGAATACAATTGGCTTATTTTTTCAAACTCAAAGATTATCATTCTATAATTTTTCAATACAATTTCAATTACTCACACTTCATGACGGAATTATACGGTTCCAAATCTTCCAGATCTTCTTCTTCATTAAACCACATTTCTTCTTCCTCCTCCATTTGTCTTTGATCACGACGAAAACGACCGCCACGAATAATTGGAATGCCACTGCATTAAAAAGACAAAACAAATTACAAATTGTAACATAATTCTCTAATAGTTTGCAAATAAGTTAAACTTACGTATCTAAACCCATCTTATCGCGATCTTTTATTCGCTCTTGATACTGATCGTAACGATTCTTTAGATATTTAAATGTCTGAACATATTCGATTTCGTCAAATATTTTGCTAAATGTTTCAACAAAATAAACACACAACGTTTTGATGTCTTCCAATTTGACAAATTCGAATAGTTCCAGTATAGCTGATTCGAGGAGATTATAACGACCATTGTTGCGTATAAAAGCATCGACGACCGGAGCAAATAGATTGCCCTTAACAATGTGTCTGGAATGAGAAGAAAAATATAGGTTATTATTCATATTATCATAAGTCCTAAGACAAATAAGAAACTTCCTTCTCATTTTATATAAAACCAAGTTCAAAGGGCTTCCAATACTTACCGATTATAGAATTCATCCTTTAATGCTACAATCTTTCTTAATAGCCTTAAGGCGCCTAATACAAGGAACGTATGAGAACTCTTCATCAAGACAAGAATTCTCTTGAGGAGATCTTTTTGGATGATAAAATTCTTGATGTGATAGGTATGATGTTCGACACAAAATGATAAAATATCTAAAACTATTCCCAATAATTGTGCTGTTTGATAATCTTCGTTTTGCGGGCGATCATCGATCGTGTTGAGCAACAAAGGTGCTAAGTAGAAAAAAAATGAAATTTATAGCAACTCCAGTCTCCAAAACAACCAACTTACCTATTAATGTCTGTATACTGTGTTTATAGAAGAAATTCAAGAAATCTCCCTTTTCCGTTAACATATTTTCCGGTTCCAAGAGAATTTTTATGATGCCCATTAATTGCACAGCAACACCTAATTCTGGTTCGGAATCATTCAACATTTGTTCAATGGCAATGTTTAATAACATACGGTCCTATGGATAATGCAGCAAAAAGGAAATTGAAAAAAATATAAAATTAGTAAATTCAATTTTATTTTGATTAGTTTCTTTTTTGCAGGGGAAAGTAGGGAGCTGAGGATGAGAATTGTACACACGCACGCTCAAACTTACCCCTTCATTACGACTCACTTGTTGCAGCGTATAATTACGCACTACCAACGGTGAAAATTCCACAATCGCCGTTAGTATATCTATTGATGCCGCCTTGGTTTTCTGGTCGTTCATTACCAGCGTGATTTCCAGTGCCTGCAGTATACCCAAACATGTCAATGTCTTGTAAAATGAATCTTTACCCTGCGGCTGAAGATTTTGGGCATAGTTACAGAACTCCTTCAGGAATAGAACAATGTCGCGACGCTTGGCATCGCTGGTATTTGGATCGGTAAGCATGGTAAACATGTCGACCAGAAAACGTTCGTCCTCTTGTATCAGTGTGACAATCTCGACTTTGTTAAAAAATATAAAACTAGATAAAGTATTTAACATATTATCCTCTACGAATACAGATGGCGTGGGCAATATAATATCCTGTATATACTGCACACGAAATGTCTGATGGATTTTCGCTAATAGATCCTGGTTCTTAATCGGTACGGCTTCGCGGAATTTAGCCCATTGCCTCAAATACTGACGATGTTTTTTCGGTTGTGTGGCACTCGGATCATATTCGAGACAGCCAACGACATCGAAAATAGTATCCTCGGCGAACATAATTTCGAAAAGTGCATTTTTATTTAATAGAAAAATATTCTTGAATATTTCGAATAAATGATGCAGACCCTCGGTGTTGTCCAAATCTTCGCACACATGAAATATGTTCAGCAATTTCTTTATGTAATTCTCCGATTCCAGGGCCATTGATAGTTTCTCTTTGCGCAATGGTGTGGTAAGACAATTTTGTATAACTTCGGAGATATCTTCGAGGCGGGCCAATTCACAGGGTGGCAATTCAATAGGCGGTGCTGTATCGGACATATCCTCGAAACGTTCATCTTCGGATTCTTCAACGATATCTTGGGTGATTTCAACGGAAGGATCTTTGCCTTGTACCTGCCAAATAAAACAAGCAAAAAGAAAAAAACAATAAACTAATTTTGATAACTTGATTAAGGTATAAATAAGAGAAATCAGTTATGCAGTATTATCACAAAAAGGAAGTTCGAAGTCGGGAAACTTTATCGTAGTGAATAGAAATGTATTTATTTTTCATAGTCGTTTCAAAATATATGTATGAAAACTGATCGAGGTATTTCAAAAAACATGTCCGCCTTTCGGGAAAAATAGCGGAATGTTCAGTAGATATATTGGCAGCTCATTCAAATTAGCGTTTTGAAGACATGCAGTTCAGAACCCAGATCCCAGATGAATGAAACTATATTTGGCGCCTCTAAATTAATCAAGAAGCCAAGTGTTCATCCTGCACCTTAATGAAAATCTCTTGCAATGGAATGTTGCTTATTTACCAAGCCCAATGAGGACACCATTCTGTCCAAGACACAAACCACTTGAATTTTGCGCTGGTGCATAAAGGGTACGTAATATATATACTCATACAAATTTAATTTTTTTGTGATTTTCTAATAAATAAATGTATTTTAATAAAGTATTGAAATAAAAATGTTGGTCTCGACCGAGACGAATAATCAAAGTAGGTTTGGCAGTAAATAAACTGCACGGAAAATGCTGCATTGAATTATATTCAATAGAATTTTTCAGATTTTCTAACCAAACTTGGGTTGGCCGTAAGACATTTGCTTGGGTATGAATTGCAGAAAATCTATAAGATACTCTTTTGAGGGGCGGCCCAAATAAAATATCTCGTTGAGTATTTTAAGGACACTATTGCAAACGTCCTGGTCCTTCAAACTCCATCACAACAAATTTTGTAACTAACTTCAGCTCATTGATGTCAACCCTGCTTATGGACAATTGCATCTTTATTAATATCACGAACGCCTGTCGACGAGCTCAAGTATGCAACCTTATTAAAAAAATGAAAATGTGACACAACAGTCAGAGAATCTTCCAATTTTTGAAACTTCATTCGTATTGAGATGTATTTGCACATGGTCGATATTGTGAGTATATTGAAAATTTATAAAAAAAAAGCCTGAACAATTTGATAAGATTCTTTTCTCCTACACTTTCTTACTCCCCACATAAAATTTCTAACACATATAAAGTACAAAGAAGTAAATCACATTTTGTTTAAACAACTTACCTGACATATTTTCTCCCATATTTCATCACATCCGGCCTTCTCCTGAAAACTTAGGGCCAAATCAAAATTATCACCTTCAGACCAAACAATCAAAGTGTCCTGTTGCTTTTGATAAGCGGTGTCGGGTTGTATTTTACTTTCCAAAAGTAAGCCACCATCGGATTCAGCGCGTACCAGCAACGAGATACCTTCAATGGGAGGATCAACAAAGCGAAAAAATTACAATAAAATAAAATGAGTGAATTAAAAGGAAAAATCGTAACTAACCTTTCAGTCTGTCAACATAATTTGATGAAACATGTCCAGTGCCACGATCATCCCATTGACGTTCTGCATTTAGAGCATATAATTTGACGCGTCGGCGGGTATCGGTAGTCATTTTGATATTTTGTTTTGTGTATTGTTTTAAGATTGTTTGTTATTATACAATTTTTTGTTGTATACAATTAATGATGATGTGGATAGTAAACTAATTTTTAATACAAAAAGTTCCTCTGCACTTCTACGTTTTCGTACGGTTTGATTCTGTGCCTGCTCAGTTTATATTCTGACGGCAAACAAAACGTTTGTGCTTGGCTATAAACGATCTTCTCTTTGGAACCAGAAAATCGTTAGTGGATTTTTTGTGGATGGGTAATTTTTTGTGTTGTCCAACCTAGCGTTCCAACGGGTGGCACACGTGTCAAGTTGTTTGAGATTTTCCGTGTAGCCACCAGAGACCTTAGTCTCCTCTTTCCAAGTTGCGAGAGAGCTCGGTGTTTGAGTTAACTTTGAAATCCACTAGATTTCTTCTTTCTTCTGAGTTATTGGCTAAGAACTTTGTTCCTTTGTTAAGTATATTTCTAAGTAGCAGTGACTTGTTTTAGAAATGTATTTGTTTAAAAAACTAACTCAACGATGATTTGTGGTATTGAATTCAAAATTCAATTGTTGAGATTTACTCATTTAAATATATTAAATTAAACATTTTCTTTTGTCTACAGAATTCAAAGTGGGAAAACAACACTTTTTCATTTTCTTTTCCCATTAAGCAATGAAAGTTGTAGACTGCATTTATTTGAAGGTTCTTTTTTTGCAAAAACTGTAAATAGAAAAATTGGAATATAAAAATTAGTACATTGGGAGATATAGGAATAAGGACAAAATTAACATTTAATTTAAATTTATGTATAACATTAGCGACTGAATGTGATGATATATATTGTCGATAAAAATCATATGTAAACTTTGTATTGGCCAGTTCGTTAATTGGGTATGGTTTGTTAAATTCGACGACGAATCAAGCCTTAAGGGGAAATTGGACGCCGCATTAATGAAATACCACAACATTTATGTAAAACGGTCATTAAAATTTATTTAGAAATAAATCGTATAAACTTTACTTCACTAATTCAATCATTGGATTTTTTCTACCCCATGGTTCCACAAATATGAAACTTCTTGCCAGTCAAGTCCTTTATCAAGCTTTGTTGGGTTCCTGCCCACAATAAAATCTCTGGCAAAGAATTAACAGGGGAACTGGCAAGATGTGGCTCCGAGTCAACTGATCTAAAGACTGAGAGCTCGATGAAGACACCCTTGTGACGATACTGACTATTGTATGCTTTGTCAAGACGAGGAGGAAATTGTGATAGACAAGTTTTTTTTAAGGAAAAAAGCATATGCATATAATGGAAGATAAAAAAAATATCCGCACTTTGCCCTTTTAATATTTTGTAAAAATTGTAATTTTTAGCAAAGAAAATTCATGATTTTCGCACAATCATCACAAAACTGTACAATAAAAAGCGAAAAAACAGTGAGAGGGAGGCTGGCTTACTTTTGCCCTCGCCAACTCACAATAAGAAGAATAAACAAAAGAAAACAACATCAATAACAACAATGAAAAGCCCCCCAAAAATATTTGTATTACAAACAACCACACAAAAATTCGCACACACATAGATACATACATACATACAAAAAATCGCACCGCACTCTATGAATGAAATTGTGAAAGCTAAGCACAGCGTATCGTCGAAAATACAAATAACAACAAAACGACGCAACAATCGCAAAAAAAAAATACACACGCTAGTAACGTAAATTTTTCAATGTTGGTTGGTTGGTTGGCTGTTTGTAGCTTAGGCAATAAAATATGAAAAGCCGCCAAAGGCGACAAGCTATCTCATGGGAGTCGCAAACAAACGTACACACACTTACAGATACTCAAATGTCAACAAAATTGGTTAGACTTGTGTGTGTGGTATATTTATTTGTAAAAAGGACTCATTTGTAATTACAAATATATATTGAACAAGTAAAAAGATAGAGTGGACCGATGTTGTCTATTTTCACACCTGACCTAGCACTGACCCGAATATTAGGATTTGCTAAGTTGGAACAAAATCGGATTTCTGTGCAAAAAATATATTTTTTGAAAATTTCGACTTTTTGTGGGGGAGGTACCAGAAATAGTGGACCGATATATTCCATCTTAGCACCAGACCTTGGGTTAATAAATATATTGGAATGTGCGAAATTTGAAGTCAATCGGATTCTTACAGCACATTTTATAAGAGTTATAATTATTCAAAATTTTGACCCATTGTGGGGGAGGTACTTGATGGAGCGTACCGATATTGTCCACTTTCGCACCAGACCTGGCACTGACGCAAATATTATTAGTTGCAAAGTTGGAGCAAAATCGGACCGATATATTCCATCTTAACACCAGACCTTGGGTTTATAAATATATTGGAATGTGTGAAATTTGAAGTCAATCGGATTCTTATTTGAACCATTTTGACCCATTGTGGGGGAGGTACTTGATGGAGTGAAGCGATATTGTCAATTTTCGCACCTGACCTAGCACTAATGCAAATAGTAGGATTTGCAAAGTTGGAGCAAAATTGGATCATCCTTTCACTTTCTGTGCAATATAATATTTTCTTTGAATATTTCGACATTTTGTGGGGGAGGTACCAGAAAGAGTGGACCGATATTGCCCATCTCCGAACTCGATCTAAGTTTGACAAAAATGTTACGATGTACCAAGTTTAGACCAAATCGGATACTCTCTTCGAAAGGTATCGTGCGCACCAGCCAGGCAGACAAACAAAATGATCGTGTTTACTTGCCAAAGAGGTCAGCTGAAAATGGGCACCTTCGGTTGGCCACCAGAACTCAATGGGCCAAAATACCGCAGAGCAACATTCGGGACGTGTGACGGTTTCATTGGCCGTTTGAAGGCCATAATTCGTGCCAAAGTTGACCAATTCGAACTAATCTAAACTTATTCTAAAATTTGATGCTATTCCCCACAGTTTTTGCTTTCATTCAATAAAATTTAAAAAAAGTTTTTATCTCACCCTTTATATGAAAGTATTCATTTAACTCTTTTATTGTTTGGTTCAAAATACATGTTTTTCGCTTACATACGGACTGTGCGAGAATCCTTAATTTTATATAATACCAGCAAGTGCCCGCAACACTTCGACAGCGAAAAGTCCTCCTCAAAATTGTAGATTCGCTACAACAGTTCGTGTTCGAAATGCACATTTTTTTCATTTTGACAAGATTTTTTATTCAAACTTCATACCTTTTGCTAAATATTCAGACTTTCAAGTTTTTATGTATTATTCAAGTTTTCCCCCTTTTCGGAAAAAAAAAATAGGAAAATGTTTGCCTTTTACACAAAAAGTCTTCAAAATCTTTCATTTTGAATTTTACAGAGGAGGGATATTAGTCATACCATTACACAATGGACCCACATCCAACGTTTCTGTCCTAAACTATTTCAACGTCTTCATATGCACCGCATAAAGTAACAGTGACATCGATATTTAGAATTTCATCTATATTCTAACTCTAAATGGCAATTTATGTTGCATTCACCCATCCTAATTTAGTAACTTATTGTAAAGGGTGTTTTTTAAGCTAGTAGAACTTTAAAATGTAAAAAGTAACACAAAAAATAAATTTTAATGAAACTTTTTGTATTTGTTTCAGTATACTCTGACAAATCATCTTGAATAGACGCACGCTTGAACAACGCTACGAAATTATTCAAATTTACTCTGAAAATCAGGCTCTAGAGCAGTTGGCAAATAACCCGTTGTTTTATCGCAAAATTGTGTTCAGCGATGAGGCGCATTTTTAGCTTAACGGGTTTGTTAATAAGCAAAATCGCCGCATATGGAGTGAGACCAGACTCCATTACATCCAGAAAAATGCACCGTATGGTGCGGTTTTCACGCTGGTGGTATCATCGAACCTTATTTCTTCAAAAATGAGGCCGGAGCTCGCGTTACGGTCAATAGAGATCGTTACCGCACCATGATCAATGATTTTTTGTTTAAAAATATGAATGACATTGATCCAGGAGAGATGTGGCTTCAACAGGATTGGGCTACGTGCCATACGGTGAGCACGCAACCATCGATTTATTGAAATCAAAATTTGGCGATAATTTGATTTCGAGAAGTGGACCTGTCAATTGGCCTCCAAGGTCGTGCGATTTGACACCTCTCGATTATTTCCTGTGGGGCTACGTGAAGTCACTGGTTTATGCTGATAAACCAGCAACAATTGACGTCTTGCTTGCAATGCTGGCCTCATTGTTCGTGTTATTCTTGACATAGGGCCAGCAGTGCTCGAAAATGTGGCCAAAAACTGGACGTCCAGAATGCACTTCGTCAAGAACAGCCGCGGTGCCCATATGCCCGAAATCATTTTCAAATGTTAATGTCACGTATTGATCTGTCGAATAAAAAAATTGATTAAAATATAAAATATATTCCAAACACTATCTGTTCTTCTAATACCAAATTGTACCAAATATAGTTCTATAATATTATATAGCACTTTTCGTGAAACATTTCCAAAACCCAATTCATCCGTTCACACTAAAACAAAGTTTTCCAATTTGAGTACCATTTAGACAGTTCGCGCAAATTTTTCACTACCCCTTTACCAAATATTAAACACAGTTTCAATGAATACTTTTCGTACAATAATGGTACACATTTCCGAAACCACATCCATATGTACAGGCTGCACATGAACAGCGACCCTAATAGAAAATTTCATACTCCAAACACTATCTGTTCTTCTAATACCAAATTGTACCAAATATAGTTCTATAGTACTATATAGTTCTTTTCGTGAAACATTTCCAAAACCCAATATAAAATTTCAGCTTCATCCGTTCACACTAAACCAAAGTTTTCCAATTTGAGTACCATTTAGACAATTCGCGCAAATTTCAGTGCTTTTAGCTATATCCGTTCACATAATATTAAATGGCACCATTTTAGAAGTATAGTACCATTAAAGAACTATTCGTAACCCTAAATTTTGAATTTCCAAATACTCCATTCTAAATACTCTTCTAGCCCATTCTGTTTGTTCAATACAAAGTATTAAATTTTTAGTACTCTCTCGTATCATTGTTATGTAATTAACTACACCAACTCGATAAAATTGTTAATAAACAATAATACTAAGCAAACTCGTTTGGATGAAACAAATCACAGTTCTGATTGCTCACTTCAATTCATGAGTTCAAACGCTCATGTCTGATTGTGAGTGAAATGATTCACACGGCGTGTCCGATTCGATCCGGAAACTATATTTTCATGCAGATCAAACCAAACGACTGCATTAACAAACATCATGTAAAAAATCGAGAATCATTGAATTATTTATACTTGTTGCAGTCCTCTGGAACGAACACAATTAGTCCCTCTCGACGATATTAAAATAACATATTGTCTATAATTCACAATGAGTGATAAACAAATACTGATTTATTTCTTTGTTGGTCATTTTGAAATGTATGTCCGTTTTGAAGTTTAAAAAAGCTACTACCATTAATGTATTTATTCATTCGTTTGTTAATTGAAATATTTTATAAATAAAGCCAGTAAAAAATTACAGAATTCCGCCAACCAACGGCGGATTGCAATTGCAGAATTCTAACTCCGACCCAATAAAAAAGGCGTTAAAATCAATTTTTTGTGTTACTGTTCTACACGCGCCAAACTTGATTTCAATATGCCTACTTACCATCCTCTATCTAACTACTTTCTTTACACTCAA